TTGTTCAGTGGTTGTCTCAATTGGTTTATGAACACTTCGAAATATTACTCCTTTAGTGTTTACTACTTTGAGATGAACATATGTTACTCCTTCTGTGTTTACTACTTTGAGATGAACATATGTTACTCCTTCTGTGTTTACGAACATTTTGAAATGAACCCTTTGTTACTCCTTTTCTGGTTATCAACACTTTGAAATGTTACTCCTTCATACTTTTCGTGAAAATATTTACACCATTTTTGAAAAGTTACTCCTTTTGTGTAAGAATTGTTGGCATAAGATTTATACTTTTTCTTCGAACTTACACCTTTTTTGAAAGCCCAACTTAAAGCTATTTCGGAAGTCACTTATACCTTTTGTGAAAAAAAAAATTCATGAAATTTGCACCTTTTGCTAAAGCTTACACCTTTTCCTGAAAATACTTACACCATTTTTGAAAAGTTACTCCTTTTGTGTAAGAATTTTTGGCATAACATTTATACTTTTGCGCTTATATACTCTTTCACAAAAGGTGTAAGTTTGAACAAAAAGTATAAATTTTATGACAAAAATTATTTCACAAAAGGAGTAACTTTTCAAAAAAAAATATAAGCACTTCCACGAAAAGGTATAAGCTGAAGCAAAAGGTGTAAATTTGATGAATTTATTTTTTCACAAAAGGTATAAGTGACTTCCGAAAAAGCTTTAAGTTGGGCTTCCACCAAAGGTGTAAGTTCGAAGAAAATGTATAAATCTTATGCCAAAAATTCTTACACAAAATGAGTAGCTTTTCAAAAAAAATATAAGCACTTCCACGAAAAGGTATAAGCTTAAGCAAAAGGTGTAAATTTGATGAATTTATTTTTTCACAAAAGATATAAGTGACTTCCGAAAAAGCTTTAAGTTGGGCTTCCGCAAAAGGTGTAAGTTCGAAGAAAATGTATAAATCTTATGCCAAAAATTCTTACACAAAAGGAGTAACTTTTCAAAAAAAATATAAGCACTTCCGAAAAAGCTTTAAGCTGGGCTTCCACAAAAGGTGTAAGTTCTAAGCAAAAGATATAAATCTTATGCCAAAAATTTTTACACAAAAGGAGTAACTTTTCAAAAAAAATATAAGCAGTTCCACGAAAAGGTATAAGCTTAAGCAAAAGGTGTGAATTTGATGAATTTATTTTTTCACAAAAGGTATAAGTGACTTCCGAAAAAGGTTTAAGTTGGGCTTTCACAAAATGTGTAAGTTCGAAAAAAAGGTATAAATCTTATGCCAAAAATTCTTACACAAAAGGAGTAACTTTTCAAAAAAAATATAAGCACTTCCACGAAAAGGTATAAGATTAAGCAAAAGGTATAAATTTGATGAATTTATTTTTTCACAAAAGGTATAAGTGACTTCCGAAAAAGCTTTAAGTTGGGTTTTCACAAAAGGTGTAAGTTCGAAAAAAATGTATAAATCTTATGCTAAAAATTCTTACACAAAATGAGTAACTTTTCAAAAAAAATATAAGCACTTCCACGAAAAGGTATAAGCTTAAGCAAAATGTGTAAATTTGATGAATTTATTTTTTCACAAAAGGTATAATTGACTTCCGAAAAAGCTTTAAGTTAGACTTTCACAAAAGGTGTAAGTTCGGAGAAAACGTATAAATCTTATGACAAAAATATTTACACAAAAGGAGTAAGTTTTCAGAAATAGTGTAAGCACTTCCACGAAAAGCTGTAACCTTAACCAAAATTTATAAATTTGATGAATTTTTTTTTTCACAAAAGGTATAAATGACTTCCGAAAAAGCTTTAAGTTGGGCTTTCACAAACGGTGTAAGTTCGAAGAAAAAGTATAAATCTTATGCCACAAAGAGATGTAAGTAACTTCGCAAAACGTCTAAGTTCCGTTTTTTTTGTAAGTTCCTAAAATCCAATCACACTGTATTTGTCTTGTTCAGCTAATGGCAATGTAAGAGAGAAGGGCGTTTCGGAGGGCTTGGCCTTTCTCCCAGTAGAACTCCGTTTAAGAGAAGATGAGTCTGGGAGGGCTTGGAATAGCGACTCCGAGCCCAAATCCAACCAAGTATGTCAATGTAAAAGAGAACCGTTTTTAATATAGAGCAACGGACAGACAGAGAGAGAGAGAGATAGACTGAGATCAACAGACATAGAGACCTAGATGGACACTGATCGACAGAGGGACCGAAATCAACAGAGATCGACAGAGAAGAGACCCACATGGACACAGACCGACCAAGATCGCTGGAGACAGACCGAGATAAACAGGGATCGACAGAGAGAGACCGACATCGACACAGAGAGACCAATATCGATAGCCAATCTTTCAAAAAACCTTTGATTTGCGGCGGCGGTGCTAGTGGAGGTGTCGATCTCAGAAGGCTGTGAGCACCGGAGCCCACCGACGCTTAGGTAGTCAGCGGGGGTCACGAACCCTTTGATTTGTTCAGTGGTTGTCTCAATTGGTTTATGAACACTTCGAAATGTTACTCCTTTTGTGTTTACTACTTTGAGATGAACATATATTACTCCTTCTGTGTTTACGAACATTTTGAAATGAACCCTTTGTTACTCTTTTTCTGGTTATCAACACTTTGAAATGTTACTCCTTCATACTTTTCGTGAAAATATTTACACCATTTTTGAAAAGTTACTCCTTTTGTGTAAGAATTTTTGGCATAACATTTATACTTTTGTGCTTATATACTCTTTCACAAAAGGTGTAAGTTTGAACAAAAAGTATAAATCTTATGACAAAAATTATTTCACAAAAGGAGTAACTTTTCAAAAAAATATAAGCACTTCCACGAAAAGGTATAAGCTGAAGCAAAAGGTGTAAATTTGATGAATTTATTTTTTCACAAAAGGTATAAGTGACTTCCGAAAAGCTTTAATTGGGCTTCCACAAAAGGTGTAAGTTTGAAGCAAAATGTATAAATGTTATGCCAAAAATTCTTACATAAAAGGAGTAACTTTTCAAAAAAAATATAAGCACTTCCACGAAAAGATATAAGCTGAAACAAAAGGTGTACATTTGATGAATTTATTTTTTCACAAAAGGTATAAGTGACTTCCGAAAAAGCTTTAAGTTGGGCTTCCACAAAAGGTGTAAGTTCGAAGAAAAAGTATAAATGTTATGCCAAAAATTCTTACACAAAAGGAGTAACTTTTCAAAAATGGTGTAAGTATTTTCACGAAAAGGTGTAAGCTTAAGCAAAATGTGTAAGTTTTCGTTTGTTTACACCTTTGGTAAGTCAACTCACAAAAGGAGTAAGTGTTTATAAAAGGTGTAAATGATTTCACAGAAGGCGTAAGTTTTCAGAAAAATGTGTAACTTTTCAGAACTCAGTTACGTCTTTTTCTGAAATTCCTTACGGCTTTCGTGAAAATATACCCCTTTTGTGAAAACTTATACATTTTTTGTGACCATTTACACCTTTAGTCATATAATATATTATTTTATTAATTTACGTGGAAAGTGACCTGCTTAGCAGGTCACCAATGTGTAAGTTTTCAAATATTTTGATATAACCCAATACATACAAATGTGTAAATGCAAAATAGAAGGGTGTAAGTGCCTTGCATACCATATGCAAGGCACACTTAAGAAAAGTCCTAAAGTATTGCTCCACTCTATTAATTCTAAAACATTTGTCATATTATCTTCTACAAGAAAACATAAAAATAATGAGTTTCACTTTTACAGCCAGATCCTTGATGTCATAAAGAAATGATGTTTTGAGGTGTTATCATTACGTTCGTAGGTCCAGGCTTCGAGGTAGTCGGTTGTCAGCTTAATTTAACCTAACTCATAAGAAGGTACTCACCATCAAGATACCAGTGGAGCTCATCAACCGCTCAAGTCACGGAATTGAATTTGAAATGTATTTACTTTGGAGTAAATTATAATTTTCTCATGTTTGACGGTTCCTCGTGTACTAAAGGTCAAACTTTTTCAGATGACATGGCAAAAGACTATTTTTATGGCCCTAGGTTTTGATTAAACAAAAGAAAGAAAGTGGTGCACCACTATTTGCATGAATGCAAACTACATTTCAATAGATGTTTTCTCACCTTTCGAGCACCTTTACTACGATAGAATAAATTAAAATGAAATGTCCGTTCAAATTTTGTTTAGTATGATAGTTTGGATTGAAATGGAATCATTCAAATTTTATATTCTCCTTTTTATGTTTGGAATGTCTTATTTATGTGAGAATAGTTATTCTATCAAAATAATTATTTTAATAAAATATGAGAATAAATATTCTTTCCTTCAAGTTAAAGAATGGCAATTCCATTTTATCATAGAATTACCATAGAATTTTATTATTATTTTTTTTGTTAGTGCTTAAAAAAATATATATTATTATTTAACTACCGTCACCGTTATTCTATTCTTCTACCAACCTATTGCCACCGCCACCCTATTGTCACCACAACCACTAGTACCGCCACCATAGTTGCCGCCACAATCACTATACTATCACCACCATACTACTGATATCATCACCACTATTACCATCACTACTACCGTTATAACCACAACACCACCTTATATATCACCACCACCACCACTACCACTAAAGCCACATCAATCTACTATCATCGTCTTACTAACGTTGCTATCACCATCACCGATGCCGCCGCCGCCGCCGCCAACACTACTACAACTTATGCCATCACTTTTACAACTATTAATATTATCATGATCTATATAAATTTTTAATTTATTTGTTACCAACTTGTAAAATAAATAAATAAATAAGTATTAAAAATTTATTTCATTCCATGAGTTTAATAGGTGTAATCAAACATGAAAATGAGAATTTTCATTTTATTCCTATATCATTCTATGTTGACAACCAAACAATGGAATGTGATTGAGCATTTCATTCCATTCAACCTTATATTTGAACTCTCATTACATTTTCATTTCATTTCATTCTATCATACCAAATACTCTCCTCTCAATTAAAGGTAAAAAAAATATTAAACTTTATAATGCAAATAATAACTTTTACAAATAAATAAATTTATGAACTAAAATTTGATTCTCAATTTGCCAAATTTGGCAAAAATGCCAATTGATAACAAAAGAAAAATTAGAGAACATTAGACCGGCTACTACCAATTGACCACTTTCTCCCTCCATTCCTTTTTTTCAGTTCTCTTAAAGACTCAAATTACATAAAATAAAATAAAATAAATCTTGGAAATTAGTAAACAATTTCAACTCCCCTAGAAATTCGAATATCAAAACTCAAAAGTTCCACCCTAATACTCCAACATATGCCTGTAATCAAGGCCACTTTGATGATGAATCAAGTATTCTTGACCGTTGGATACGCCAAAACCTGAGCTTTGACTGAGCAGCTGTTGCTCCTTCTGTCTCCTGAGTTCGACAACCTTCCTATGCGAGTTGGAGTGTTTCGTCGATACAAAGGTCGGACTCGCAGCGGGTCGGTACTCGGGTACCAACCGGCCAGAATTGTACCGGACCCCACACGCATTACACAGCGTTTTCGGACCCATAGGTCCGGCCCGCCACTGCGGAGTCTTCTCGGAGGCGCAATGCAGGCATTTTCGGCCTGAAGTCTCGGCGGTGTACCTCTTCTTCGACGGCGTCGTTTCATTTGGCTCGGAGGTGGGTGAGAGGATGAGAAGGCGGGAGGACCAGTCGCAAGGGGCGGCGCGTGAGCGTTTGCTTCGGGGTTTGCCTGGGACTGACACGTCGGGAGTGAATATCGGCGGGTTGTGTCGGTTTGTGGATGTCTTGGGCCGAAAGTCCCGTGGCGTTTCGGATGATGAGGTGTCGGTGGGAGGTTTTGCGGTGGTGGAGATTTGTTGGAGGTTTTGTAAGTTGTCGGTAGAGAATGAGTCGTCCACGAAGTTCGAGAGCCATTCCAGCTCAGCCACGTCGTCGTACTGTTCACACCCAAAAAAAAAAAAGAAAATAAGTTGTTTTAATAATACAATACATTTTCAAAATTTTGAGTTCTGTTACAGGTTTGGACACGTGCATGATACTAAGGTCAAGTTTGACATACATAAAATAATTTATTTTTTTATCTTTTTATTTTTTTTCATCACTTAATCTCTCTACTTTTTTACACATATTTTCGTAAAAAGATAAAAAGTACATTTATTTAGGTAATTCCAAACAACTCCTAAAAATGTGCTTGGATTTGTTTTTTATTTTTTTAATTTAGAATAAAAAAAAATTAAAAAGTTTTATTACACTTTTAATTCTACTCAATTTTAGTTTAGATCGGTTAGGAAAAAATTTTTACTAAAAACGAAAAGAAAGTGAATTTTTTCAAAATTCTTTATTGAAAGGAAAAATTTTTGACACAAATCTTAAAAAATTACTAAAAATAAAAGGGGTAATTTTATTATTATTATCATTTTTGGATTGATTTCAAACTCACTCAAAAAAAATCTGAAATAAAACAATCTGTTTCAAGGTAAATATGATTTTCAAATGTCCTAAAAATTAATCAGCTTGTTTAGTTTGAGTTTCTAATATTCACTTTTTAAAAAATTAAAATTCTTTGTTTTTCATATTTTTTTTTATTTTTATTGAATTTTTAAAAAATTTAAATAATTTTTTTAATTTTTAGATACACGTAATATAAATACACTTAAAAAGTATAATATTTGTGAATTTTTTTTAAAAAAATTCACTAAATACCAAAAATATAAAATCATATAAAATAAATGAGAATTCACTACATTTTTTTTTTGTATTTTTGTCTATTTATTAATTTTTTTAAATATTATTTTTAGATACATCTAAGTAAGGACATATAAAAAAGTAAAAAAATTGATTAAAATTTTAAAAGTATGCACTAAAAATTAAAATAAAATAAAAAAAGAAAAGTAAAAAACTTAATTTCTAAAAAAATGAATTCAGAAAATTAAAATACATTGAATTTTTACAGAAAATTTAGAGAGAAGAGACTACAAACAGATTAAGAGCATTCCTATCTCTCTCCCTAAACCCACCCCTTACCTATTTTAAGGGGCTAAAATCCCTTTATACACCTCCATCAACTCTTCTAAATAATTCCTTAAACTAGTTTTTGCTACAGTGACTCTCTATTTGTAAAGGGTCAGTGTAGCTCCTTTATATATATATATATATTTCTTTACTTTGTTGAGGGACCTGCAGTATTTTTAATTTTTTAAAATTTATAATTAAAAATTATATTTTAATAAAAAAGAGAAAAAAATAGGAAATTTGTTAATAGAATAAAGAAATAATAAGGAGTTGGAAAGTAATTGAAAAAGTAATTCCTAAAATAGGAAATAAATTTTTTAATAATATTTTAGGGTAAAATTTAGGTATTCTGCTAAAGATGCTCTAATAAGTGGTAATTGCAGCCCAGTGTAATCAGAAAAAATAAATAAATAAATAAAAATTACACATTTATGAAAAAAAATTATAATTATAATTATAATTATTTATAAAAAAATTTCGCTAATTTGTAATTATTTTTTCAAATCCTCACTGATTTGATATTTCTCCATAATGTAATTTAAAAAAAAAATGCGGAATTGTTGGTTGTCCACGAAATGCACAGCAAATTGCTCAAATTGTTTACATAGAGATTAAAAATCACACAAATTTTTTTCCTGATAAAAAGTCATTGATAGTAGAAAATAAAATATTACTAGAATGTGATTTCCATATTAAAATAAGCACCTTAATTTCAAACAAACATTGAATAGTAAAATTACCGGAACGCAGAGTTCGCCAGAGAATTGAGCATCAGTAAAACTCCGGCGAACAAAATTGCCGGAGAACTGAGATTCGTTGCCGGAAACCGACGCATTGCAGCCATCAACGACCATGACGGTCGAAGAATCAGCAGAATTCCGGGGAAGATTGTCGAAGAAAGCATCGTTCATAATAACTTGATCGTCTTTGGAGAAGTCGAGCAGGTCGTCAATGGTGAATTGGTTATTACCAAACGGTTTGTGATCGGAGAAACAATTTTCCGGCGAGAAATCCTTGTTTCCTGGGGCTGAAAAATAGCCGCCAAAGAAGATCTCCGGAGCCTCCATTGGTGTTTGGTAACGGTTCCTTGGGAATTTAGAGACAGAAAAAGAGAAAGAAAACGGGCGGACAGAGCTGAAAGTGGTGTTGTGTGGGTTTTTGATGAGTAAAAGGAGGGCCCCAAGTACAAATATAAGAAAATTTTGAAGCATCTTTACCTGTTGTATTATTTATTTATTAAAAAAAAAAACTATACATAATGGCAAATTCACTTGTTACTATTTTTGTCAAGCTTATTTAAACTTGCCAATCTATGGCCTCTTTTGGGGGCGGGATTGGTCCCGTTTGGTAGAATTATGAAAAAATGATTATAACTTATATTTTAACAACTTATAATTTATAATTATGAACATAAGTTGATTTTTGACTTATAAATTAAACTTCTTCTCCCCTACTTAAAGAATAAGTTAATTTTTGACTTACAAAAAATTATAAGATGTATTGTTAAACTGAACCAAACACATCAAAATAACTTCAATTAAGCTAAAAGCTGAAATAAGATAGAAATAAGGTCTACCAAATAGGACCATTAGAAGCAGTGTTTTGATTTTTAACGTCTTTTGAATTGTTTTATTTCTTTATTTTTTTATATATATATTTTAAAATGTCATAAAAAATTAAGGATGTGTTTGGTACAGATTTTAAATCATGATTTTACACTCAAATTCGAGTGCGGCGTTTATTTACGGTTTTCAAAACACATTTTCACACCCGCATTTGAAAAATAGTGTACCCGAATGTCCCTCCGGACGTCCTGTCGGTTGACCGGAACAATGTTCTTGAAATTTTTTTTTTTTTGCACTTGTTATTTTTATATGTTAAATAAAAAAATATTTTTAATTTTTTATGCGTTTTGAATAGAATTTTGGGTTGTGTTTGGTTATGAATTGTAAGTTTTTATATAAAAATTATGTCACATCACTCAATTCGAGAACTCTTTTCAAAACTCATTTACCAAACAAATTTTTCACACTCAAATTATAATTTCAAAACTCACAAACTCAAAATACAATTCATATCCTCAAATCATATTTACAAAACTTTACCAAACGTAACCTAAAATTTTCACTTTTAACTTATTTTTTCAGAACAATCCGTATTAAGAAAAAAAAAAGATGTTTTTAACTTTAAGAGATGTAGAAGTTTTAAAATTCTGATTCAATTATGTTGATTTTTTATTATTTTTAAATATATATTATTGGCTACTAAAAATTAAAATTTATTAAAATTATAGTCAATAAAAAAAATTATTAAATTCACCTATCATTTAGGGATTTAAATTTCAAAATACACATGATTTAAGGGATTGTTTTCCATAATAAAAATATATTGTGGGTTCATTTGGAAAGTGGGATGACTTTTTTGGCTATTTTAACCTGGGACTAAAAAGTCTCGTTTGGGAAAGGCTTTTGACTTTTTTGATTTTTTTGTGAGAAAAAGAATGTAATGATTATGGGTTGGATTATTAGGCTAAAAAGTCTATTTTGTTTCGGAAAAATTACCCATAGGTCCTGTTTGAAATATATGCACACTATTTAATCTTACAACTTTTTGAGTAGACCTAAAAGTCCTACTTTTCCCCTCTGTGTGTGTGTGTGTTTTTTGTCTCATTTTTTACGTTTTCCTCTCTCTCTCTTTTTCTGCGTTTTCCTTCCATTTTCTTTGTCATGGACGACAACCGGTGATCACACCTTTCTTATTCTCTTTCTCTTTCTAATATATTGTCACCGGTGACCGACAACCACCATTGATTAGGATTCACCAGTAACCACTAACCATCGACATCAACTCGTGACTTCATCATCACAGACGGCCAAGAAGATGAGTAGATCTACTCAGATCTGATAAGTAGATCTATATGAGATCCGACTAGATCTAAACTAAAAATAGTTGCCAGAATATAATATTCTTTCTATATCTATTCTTTCCTTCGATTTTTCAATTTTTTTTACCTTTTCTCTGTTACACAAGTCTACTTTTCTGTTTTAATAGAGAAAATTTTCAAATTTTGAATAAGTTGTTTTTAAGTATTAGTTACAGGCGGTGAAAATTGTAAAATTTGCAATTTCAATTTTTTTTGGTGCTGGAATGAATCATGGTTTAAAACTGCAAAAAATTGCAGTTTCATAACATTCTTTAGAACTGTAAAGTTTTACAGTTTCATAACATATTTTTCAGTTTGATTAATAAGGATAAATACTTAATAGATTTTTGCTCTGAAACTGTAACATTTTACAATTTCAAAACTTGTTTTTCAATTTGATCAATATTGGAGATTATTTGCTTAAATCCTACAAAAATTGAAAAATAACATATGTTTTTTCCATTGTTGCTATTTTTTATCGTTACATTTTTTTCTTTTAGTTTATCGATATTTAGCATATTTTGCTATGTTTTTTCTCTCTAATTTCTCCATTTATTCTTTTTTTTTGGCAATATTCTGGACATTCCGGTAAGTTTCCAATGATATTCTTAATGTCCAACGAACATTCTGGACATTCCGATAAGTCTCCAATGATGTTCTTAACGTACAACGAACGTTCTGGACATTCATGTGACTTCCATTGCCGTTCATAACAGTACGGTGAACTTTCGGCGGCTTCCCGGCGATACTCCAACGACTTTCCAGCGACACTCTAGCGATTTCCCGTTGATGTTGAACATTCCAGCGAGTTTTCGGTGACCGTCTGACGGAAGTCCGACTGTTATAGGATGTAACAGAATCTGTAAATTTTTTTTAAAAAAATAGGATTTTTTTATAATAATTAAAAATATATAGGACTAATTGGTACAAATGTTTTGTTTTGGGATTAGATGGGTTTTGAACTTTGTATATAGGATTTATTGGTAAGTTCCCCTTTTGTTTTTTGTGGCTATTTTAACCGAAGCCCAACTTTTTTCTTCCCAAATGAAGCCTGTATATTTTACCCAAAAAAAAAAAAAAAAAGCTTGCACAACAAACATCTTTCACTACTTTCAAAATAAAAAAGGAAGCTTACACAAGAAACATTTTCATCTCTACCAGAATAAATATTTTGTACGCCTCTCTCTCTCTCTCTCTCTCTCTCTCTTTTAAAATGGCGATTGTAAGATTTTATTGGTGTTTAATTTTTTTTCTTTTTATTTTTTCCTTTCATTCAAGCTTAATCTCCACGTCTATATGGCTTCTGTTAGTAACTAAACAACAATAAACCAAACCCATATGTGAAGATAATCATGGATGCCTCCTTCAAATTTTAAAGTAACTACAAATAATTTTTAGGCTCGGTGTTAAGATTAGGTGTGAGATTTTTTGCATATTTGTTATTTCTAAGATATATAATGGATCAATGTGTCATATAGTCTTTTAAATTGTCAATATTAGTGGAAAAAAAAATTAGAATTTGTGATTGATTATAACTCTATCACATAGATTATAAATAAAATAAAAAAATAATTTTATTTTTTATTGATTTTATATATGTAATCTTTAAAAGTCAATAATTATATTTTTCATAATTTTCAGTTTCAATTCTATTTAGTACATTTTTAATTTATCAATTAGTGTGTTTCTTAGGTGTAGAGTATACTCTCATCTATATCTATATGTATATTATTACCGAGCAAAAGAAACTTTTGATAAGAGACTCTAGGAATTTCAAAGCATTAATATAAAATTTTAAAAGTAAAGAAATACAAGTGACATACAACTATTGGAGAATTTAATTGTATCTATAATTTTAAATTTTAAATTTAAAAAATATATATAGATTTATATATAGAAAGTCAAATAAATAAATTTAATCATATCTAAGCCACATCTAATTTGATATTTGAATATCTGTAAAAGGAAATTATAAATTTAAATTTAGTATTATGTAACTTAAAATTATAAAAATATTTACTTCAAAATATTATTCATTTTTTAAATATTTAAACCAAAAAAATAAATATAATTTAAAACTATTAACTTATTGTAGCTAGTTTTTTGTGCTCTTCAGAGGGGTTTAGTCTCCTCGGATACGATAGTCTTACAATTCAGACTCCCGTGATTCAAAATCTGGTTTCACAAGTGCAATGTGAAACAGAAAAACTCAAATAAGAGTCCAAATCCGGCAAATCTTTGAAAAATCGATTTACAATCAGAGATGCCAAAATGGACTATATTACCAAATTACAGAGTCGCCACCTAAATATTTTTGAAAAATTTAAGAAACTTGTGACTCATGCCAAAGGCCACTTGTTCGTCATAACTAAAGTGTCTTGGCTCGGAAACTTAGGTATGAGAGGGGAATGTTATGAATTAAGCACCTCACTCACCCGATTAAAGATCGACATTTGCTAATCATAATGTGATTTTTATATACATCATTGTAGACACCCCATTTTTGACCGCCCTTAAGACTTGAGCACTACTGATGGTCTACTTGGTGGTGAAAGGTGTGCGGGGCAAATGTTCAATTTCTTCGACAAGGAGAGAGAGTCAAATCCCAAATTCATGCCCCTTTTGGACCAAAACAATCTTGATCAAAAGATTTTAGACCTTGAAACCCTCTCTTTCAAAATGTTTTGGAAATAAAGTTCCTACGATGTTCCGAAGCTCGCATTTCGTTAAATGTTGCACTTTTCGGTAAACCGAGCAAGGACAAAGTGGAAATGAATGAAAAAGAGATGAAATCTTTTCAAAATATTTCAAAACACCTTGTTTAGGGGTTTGGATTTGAAGAAAAGAGGAAAGGAGAGAAGAAAACTAGTTTGGGAGAAGTTCGGTATGAATCCGGGTAGGACCAAAACTGAGTGGCTTCACCAAAATAGACATAACTTTTTACACAGTTGGAATTTTGATGCAATTTTACCACCATTGGAAAGCTTACTTCTGGGGCTTCAATTTGGACATAATAATGACCTGAAAAGGAGTCCAAACGAAGGAGTTATGCCCATTTGAATTTGGACTTGGAAAACAAAATTTTCCTACTGACCAGAAAAATGGGCTGCTGACCAGAAAAGTATCCAGTCGACCCAAAAAGGTGTTCGGTCGACCAGAAAAGTGGTTTGCAGGTCCCAAACTCATATTTTTTGAAGATATTTTCTCTCCACCTGTCTTCCACAACCTCCAGCTGTTCCATAGACAGATA